CAGCCACTCCCTCACAGTCGACTCCCCAAGAATCTCCAGTGCCACCAGTAGTCTAGGCACCTGGCCCACTAATCCGTCGCACTCTGAAACATGATTCGCCCAAATTCTCCTCGTGGTGGTTGTTTAAGGTGGACGGGTCCTCCAGAGAAGCCAGTAGTGGAGCAGGAGTGGTCCTGCATAGCCCCGACGGGTTGACGCACGAGCACTCCATTTCTTTTGATTTCTCGGCCTTAAATAATTAAGTCGAATATAAGGCTCTTCATGCTAACCTTCGAGCGACACAACCACTAAAGGCAGAATGCCTCTACATATTGGCTGACTCCCAGTTGGTCGTCCATCAGGTGAATGGGTGATATGTAGCTAAAGACTCGATGATGGCCTTGTACCTTAAAGCTGCTAAGGAACTATTGGCCAGCTTTATAAACTTCAAGATGTCCCAAGTCCCTCGCGCTCTCAATGCCTAGGCAGATGTCCTCTCCAAGCTCAGGTCGGCAAGCTCAAGGATCAGCTCAGGGCCCGCTATACCAACACCCTCGAGCAATCCAGCATTTCTAAGTTGCCGGAGAATGTCATGCAGACGGAAGCGCCTATGATGTCCTATTGGTTGGATCACATTTCCCTCTACTTAACATAGGGCATCTTGCCTAAAGGTTTTACTTAAGCCAGATGTATTCAGAGGAATTCCTGCCGCTACCTCATGATCGATGGATAGCTCTATCGGATGTCATACTCGAGCAGCAGTAGAGGAATTCCTGCCGCTACCTCATGATCGATGGATAGCTCTATCGGATGTCATACTCGAGCAGCAGTGTAGGACCTTATCTATGGTGCCTTCGGCCACCAGAGGCTAGTTATGTTCTCAGGGAGATCCATGAGGCACATGTGTAAATCATTCTAGGGCCCGAACCATCGTGCAGAAAGTCATCCGCTAAGGGTACTACTGGCCCACTATATTGGCTGAGTCAATGCGACTCGTCTCTCAGTGCAAGAAGTGCCAGTTTTTCTTGTCCATCCTGCGAGCAACGACTACCTAACTAACTTCCATCCTGAGTCCTATACCTTTTGCTCAATGGGGGCTAAATTTAATGGGTCCTCTCCCTCTAGCTTTAGGATAGAGGAAGTTTCTCATTGTTACGATCGACTACTTCACCAAATGGATTGAAGCTGAAACCCCGGCCAAGATTGGTGGAAGTAACGTCAAAAATTTTGTATGGAAGTCCATCTTCTGCCGTTTTGGAGTGCCCCGGTCCTTCGTGACTGACAATGGTACTCAATTTGATAGTGGAGGCTTCCAAATCTTTTGTGAGGAATACAACATTCACCTTAAGATCTCCTCAGTCACCCACCCCAAATCCAACGGACTTGCAGAGGCTGGCAACAAGTGCATCCTCCAAGCAATGAAGAAGAATATGGACGCGGCGATAAGGAACCGGGATGAAGATTTGCCTGGTATCCTCTGGTCATACCGCACAACCCATAAGAGCTCAACCGGGAAGACTCCATTCAAGGTAGCTTATGGTGCCGAGGTAGTTACTCCCGTCGAAGTAGGCATGTCAACCATCCGACTGCAACACTTCAACGAGGACTTGAACTCAGAAGGACTTTGGGTCGGGCTCGATCTCCTGAATGAAACCTGAGAGAAAGTGTTCCGAACCTAGGTCACCAATCAGCAATGAAGCGCTCGGTACTACAACAGCAAGGTCCGACCCAGGAGATTAAGCATTGGTGACCTCATCCTCCACAAAGCTGCTTTTGACAGAGACACCCGGAGAGGCAAGCTAGCTCCCAACTAGGAAGGCCCATACACAGTCCTTGAGGAGTTGCGAGCAGGCACGTATCGACTAAGGGCCCCTGACAGAAGAATCTTACAACATCCCTAGAATGTTGAGCATTTGAGAAAATATTTTCAATACTTATGTACAAAGTTTCATTCATTATATATAAAATCCTTTGTGAAACTGACTCTTTGTTTCGCACTCTCGTAGTGCCAAATCTATGCAGGAACCCTAAGCCTTTAGTGGCTTCTCAGGGTAAACCAAGGCACACTTGCCATTCAATCGGCTCCTGCATTTACAATTTGACCTCCAGTGGGACAATAAGATCTAGGCGTCCTCATTAAGACCAAGGAACCTAACCTCCAGGTTATCATTTATCAAAAAGACCTTAGCGCCCTCATTAAGTCTAAGGCACGTACCCTAAGACCTTAGTGTCATCGTGAGTAAACCTAAGGCATGGAGCTCAACCATTCGGTCGTCTTCAGTTAAAAGGCCTAGGCATCCACATTAAGACCCAGACACCCAACCTCCGGGTTGTCATTTTACTGAAATAACCTAGACGTCCTTATTAAGACCTAGGCACCTAACCTCCTGGTTGTTATTTGCTAAAAAGATCGAGGCGTCCTCATTAAGACCTAGGCACCTAACCTTTGGGTTGTCATTTACCGAAAAGACCTAGACGTCCTCATTAAAACCTAGGCACCCAACCTCCGAGTTGTCATTTTGCCAAAAAGACCCAGGTGTCCTCGTTAAGACCTAGGCACTTTAACTTGTAGGTCTTCTTCGACAAAAAGACCCGAACATTTCGCTAACAAAAGGCGTAAAATGAGACAGTCGTCCCAACCCCTAAACACTTGGGTCATCACAACACGACCAGCGCACAAAAATTAGCACTTGTTCTCTTAATCAGAACACAGCTACAAGCAAACAGAGCAAAAACAAGGAAAGGCAAGTTCCAGAGTAAGGGTAAAGTTCAAATCTTTATTCCAATATTCAAACAAATTTTATTACACTATCCATGTCAATATTTACAATAAGGCATGCCGATATTTACAAAAAGAATAAAAAAGAAAAGATACAAGACTTCAGATCTCTCAACCAGATATGGAAGTAGGGCTTGGGAGGTCCTCTACAGGGGCTACAGTGGCGGGAGCAGCAGAAGAGGAAGCTGGATGGTCTTCTCCAGGGTCATCTCCCGACTCGTTGTCGCCGTCGTACAACGCCAATTCCACTCCCTCTCCACTCACCTCAATCTCCCTTAGGAGGTCAAGGCAGCAAGATACTTAGGGTGGATAAAGGCGGTCAGGCATGGGGCGAGAGTCAGGAGGGAGCAATGAAGCCAAGTAGTCGACACCAGCCTTGCAAGCCAAGGTCACCTCTGTTTTACCCAAGGGGCCTTGGCACCAGTCATCGACCATTTATGCCATGTACTGCTCCGAGTCCAGGCGAGAGAGTCGATACTCCAGGTCCTTGACGGCCGCGACAGATGTCTAGAGGGACGAGCGCTCCACCTCAAGGTCTTGCTTTAGTTGCTCGGCTAAGAGATGACTCGATCGAGCATCCTCCTCACCCGTCACCTTGAGGCGCCTCTCAAACTTGACCTCCCCCTACAGAGAAGTTGGCGGCCATCCCGCTCGGAGATTCCTTGCTGGAGGATGTCTGCTTGGCGTCGTGAGATCTGAACCCCCTAAGGAGCTTTTCCTTCGCATCCAGCTCACGGTGCCAGCTGGCTTCATTATTGTTCAGCTCAACCTTCAAGGTCGTGAACTTCTTCTCCGCTTCCTCCTTGGCCGACTTCTCCTTGGCCAAGTCCGCCTGCCACCCAGAGGGGAGTTGTGCATGTGGGAAAGCCGACAAAACAGCTCCGACTCCACCAAAACCCCCCGAATCAAGTAACTCTTGAGGGCCGTGTGAAAGCTGATGCTTGGAAGCTCCCATAAAAACGCCTCGTCATTCGAGAGGGCAAACTGTTAGACAGCTCAAACTTGGGCAGTCGTTGACGCTAATACCGAGCTCTCTCTGTCGAGAAGCTTCTTTGCGATGAACATGTCGTCCTCTGGGACCTCCATCCTGGGCGAGCAGGGGCACGGTGGCACTCTAATCAACATGCCCTTGGACTTCTCCCAGAATTAGGGGTCAAGCTCCCCAATACAGTGGCTAAAAGGCCAGTCAAAACCCTCTTGCTTCCCCCCAGCACCTCACCCGCACAAATTCTGGAGGGGTGCTGCTTACCTCCTCAGTACCTCCGAAGTCCCGACAAGCTCCTTGCCGTGCCGGCGGGATGGTTTGGGCCAGAGCTTAGGTTGGCTACCTCCTAAGCAGGCGCCCCAACTTCAGTCGTCGCAACTGCTTAGGCCGGCCTCTCTAGTCTAGGGGAAAGAGTCGTCAATAACAACGACATCATCTAACGACCAGCTAGGACGGCCAGCTCCTGCTCTTCAGTCGAGTCGACCCAAATCTGCCCAGTCGGTCTACTGAGCCCTTGGCCCTTCTTGGCCTTCACCTTCTTTGCCTTCACTCTCTGGCCTGCCAGTTATGCAACGATCTCGGTGACCCATGACCTCAAGCTGCCAACCTCCTTAGGGTTGAGATTCCCTCTCAACCTCTTCTGAGGCCTTGAGGCCGAGCCCGATTCTTCCCCCCTCGAATTCCTCTTAGAGCTTTTTTCAAGGGGTAAGGCCAACAGATTTGCCCTCACCTTGTCGGCCTTAGCGAGGGGACATCGAGATACTCGCCACCTGAAGAGATGTCGTCTCTAAGAGATTTCCTCTCTCCCAATACCTGACATAAGAATAGATCTTCTCCAGCTGCCGCCTCTCCTCAGCGGTAAGAATGCACGGCTTCAGCACATCCTTACTGATCTCTAGGCAATTAGGAGAGGAGAGGATGTCGTCAGCACAAAAGACCTACACGAACCACTCCTTCCAGTCTCTGTTCGACTCTGGAGCGTTCGATATGAGTTTGAAACCCCCAGTATAGTGGACGAAGTAGTGAGGGTCCCTCCTCATCAACTTGACGTCAACCAGGTTCCCCAATAGGCGCATGCTCGGCAAGACGCCAACCCAGTGACAGATCACCGCGAAGCCCACCAAGTTCTTGTATTACCAAAACCTCTAATCTAAGCAACTTCTGCAGTGATCACGTCAACCATGCTAAATGCACCAAGCTAACAGATTTTCAGATCATTCTTGTATAATTTTGAGGTTAAGAAATGAAAATATAGTAAAAACTAAACGCGATCAAGAACGCCCAAAGTTTTCCCCAGAACTACTATTTGCCGTCTATGTACATATACAACCATTTACTCATGAAAGTGGGAAGAAACATATTGCACCCACTCATTAAATGAGTAAGAAAAATATTGCACCCACTCATTAAAATGAGTAAGAAAAATATTGCACCCACTCATTAGTAACATCCTACAAGCACCAGACTGCAGAAATCAATGACTAACCGAACCGTTAAACCTGAGATTACTTCGAAGCAATAAATGTCCACTACGCCTCCTCTCCTTACTTTGATCAATTGTAGATAACAATACCTGCAACACATCTTCAGCTTCTTCCTGGTTTCGAAATTCTACCCTCACATTGAAAAGAGGAGCAGAAATGGGAGTCTTCCATGCTCTGCTCTCTTTCATACCACCTTTCTTTTGCCTTGAAGTCGTTTCTGCATTACTCCCAACGATATTTAATGCATCACCTGTTCTATCAATATGCACAATGCTTTCGAGACTCATCTCCGTTTCAATCACCCACTCTGGATCAGCAGCTACACCAACAAACTCTGGGGAGTCCAAATCCACCAAGCAAGAACAACAAACAGAAAAAACTAGCCTCTCGGTGATGATGATGAAATTTCCCGGGTGCCTGAGAGTTTTGCACATGACAAATATCTCATCCCTCAGCCTTGACGCATCTGCTTGTAGGAGCATTGAAACTCCGATGGCTTCTTCCCATGAATATGGCAGCAGAGGGAGTTCCCTTGCTAAAGGCCTCGGGAACCGGATCCTAAGGCGTTTGGATTGATGAGGGTTGCTCCTTTTTCTGATGCTTTGTGCAGTTTTTCCAGTGGCTTCAAGAATGCTAGCCATTGGTCTGGCCACTAGCCCAGCAGTTCCCATTGCTATTCCTGAAAGAGATGTCAAAAAGATGAAATTATGAATTTAACGAATGAGCCCTGCAATGACTATCAGAAATATGCTTTGCATATGCCACCTGAGACAACTCCAGGTAGACCATGCTTTTCAGCACCTCGGATTGGGGATTGCAGTAGTCCAGTGAGTCCCTGACGTACATGCAGCCATGTCAATTATATTGTTAAATATAGATGTTCTGAAGTATCATGGTATAGAAGATGTTATAGATAAGAAATTTGTTTATAAGAAATTTGTTTATATGTGAGCTTAGGCATATGATTGTCACATTCTCCCTTCAGTAAGGCAGGTTGAAGTCATTTTTGTTAAAGGTTTAAGTGATTAATATTCACATAAGTGATATGTACAGCTACTCGATGTAAAAGCGAATGTTCTAATCAGCAGTAATTCTTGAGACAATTGTTTGCTCTATCAAAAGAAATGAAATAAATGTTCACCTCGAAGAACTCGCTCAGTATGCCTCTGCCATGTGATTCACTCTTAAGCTGCATATCCATTTCTGCAGCAGTCTGCTCGTCAAATGTAAGTGCAACTATACCCTACAAAAGAAAAAGAAAAAAAATTCAATTTTCTAAAGAGGTAGCAATGTTGTTATGGAATGAGCAGATGACCAACAAAAAAAAGGTCACACACCTTGTGGGCAGTTTTAGTGAACTGAGTAGTAGCGCTGCTTATTGCATAAATTGTATTACTGAGAAGACTTTTGGAGCCTTGTGCTATACCATTTAACAGTCCAATTGGGCTCTGCAACGATTTAAGTTCAAAAATTCAAATACAGATTACCAAAAGCAAGATGTGTAAGTTTTTATATCCTGAATGTTTAATCAGAATATGGCATACATGCACAATCTCTTTGCTAGAAACCGAAAGGAAGTCCTTGATGCCAAGCCCAACATTCCTCGCGAAGCCTATAGGATTTCCTATGACACCTGCAGAACCAAATACCTGCAAGAAAAATGCAGTTAAAAATTCGAAAGTAGGTTAGCGAAAAAATATCTCCACTCAACAGAACACCAAGGAGAAACCCAATAAAGGAAAGCTATGCCACCGCATCAAGCATTATGTACAAAAATATCTTCAATAAATCAATTCAGAATAACTCTGAACGAAATGGAACATAAAGCATACACATGCTTAGACCGTACTCTGTTGGCCATAATATACAGCTAATTTGTGTTTGCTTTCAAAATTCTACTAGAAACTATCTTCATCCCCAAGGTTACGGAATTCAGAAAAGTATTTGAAAGTTCTTCTGAGTGTCCTTTTCAGAGGAGCGTCAAAGCATCAAGATGTAAATTCTTGACTTTTTCCCATGGGATTTTAAATTCCTCTCCACTGTCAATGCACTTTCCCTTGAACATATAGGTGTGCATGTCTGTACGCAAGCATGTGCAAAGAGTTGACAGTCCACTATTGTATCTATCCCTAATAACCACTGACAAACAACTAGATCTGAACCCAACAATAAATTTGAAATTGAACTAAGAGAGGAATCCTGATGGATGTAAAATTCATTTAAGTATTTATATATTGGACGAAAGTCCTCAATCCTTTATTAAATCCTACTTAACCATCACCACAACTCTGACAAAACTATCAAATTGGGGTTAGAAATGGAGCATAAATTGAAACTAGAGGATCAATCATTACACTATAAAATTCTAGCCAGATCTTTCGTCCTGTGTCAAAACATCATGGCTAAGATATCAAAAAAAGATATGATCAACAGGCACTTGATAAGGAAGAGATCCATAGGAATTATTTTGGAAACAACTAAGCAGAACATGTAGAACCAAGAATAGTTGGGCATATTTCATAAAAGGAATCATAAAATAGGATACCTTGTACATTTCATGAAGCAACTGACGTGTATAATGTTTAGTAACCATCTCTTCTATTGATTCACGGCTAGCCATAAGATGCCCCAAGACCAGTTCTCCCAGGTGAACTGGCACTCCTTCAACATCAACAAGTGCCATTAAACTTCTCTGTCAATTAAATATCAAGGTCAGTACCGAATCAATGTAAAAGGAAAAATTATAAAATTGCAAAGGTTCATATCTACTTGTTGAACATTTGATGTTATGGGAGATGAATTTCAACTGCGGAGTGCAGATAATGTTGAATTAAACCAAATGTCATTCCTTTTTGTCATGTATGATATCAGTTGAAAGTCACATGATTATTCGTCAACGGTGAATATGCAATGGTTATAAACTTAGGAATTACATTAATTTCATTGAGATTTACACAGCAGAAAAATTATCATAGAAGTGCAAAATGAAAAATGCAACTTCTTATTTTTGAAATTCTGACAATAACTAGTTTAGTCGAAAACCAATGTTACATTTTTTTACAAAGGAACATATTTTTATCTTTTGTAGGGTTTTTTTTTAAATAGAGAGGGGGAGACTACTCTGGTCAAGGATGTCAATTAAGTGACTATTCACAGCATACTAAGTCAAAACTTAAAAAATACATTTTCATTCAATCAAACTGGTTCTGAGGATTCAATATTATTTACTGAAAATGTAATAGCACTCATTTCCAGTTCAGGAAAAATGTGCCCACCTGAAATGTAGTACTGCTGATATGAGGAAGATTCTGAACTCCAGTCTGGACTTCATTTCTAATCATCCACGGGGTGCTTGTAAAGCTTTAGCACAAAAACAAGCAAGCAAGAAAAAGGTAAAAATCCCTCGAGCCAAGAAATTTTGCTGCTAGATAAAATTGACAAGCTAAATCATCCTGAAATTATTCAGCTATTTTCTTTACCTTAAAGACAACTTGATAGGTGCCAATTCAAGCACTTCAATGTACATCTTTTTCTGCCTTTTAGCTGAAAGATAAATTTGTTGCCAGGGGGTTCCTATTGGAAATACAGAAGGTAGCAGTTTCTTTTTATCAGTGTCAGTAATCTTAGAAAGCCTAGAAACGTTGTAGCCTATGTGCATATGATCTCGATGGTTTGCAGGAAATTGTCTTGAAACTCCAATACCATAGGCTTCAGTTCGCGTTTCAAAGTTGTTCTGGAGGTTTTTGCTTTGCAACCTCAAGGAGACAACTCTAAAGAAATCAAGCAGGTTTAAAAGAACTTGTTCCTCAAGCTCGATGCACAACGGGGACAATCTGCAGAACATTATGAAAGATTTAACAACAAGCATGCAGTACGTATTAAATGAAAACAGCGCACAATAATTGATACCTTAAATGTATATATTTGAAAGAAAACAGTGAAGCATCCGTGTTTCTCCATTTCACTGCAGTGAAATGGAGTGCAGATTCGTTTGTGTTCTCAGATGTAGGACTTGCATTCTCATTTTGCATTCTCAGAGTATGTTCCATATTTTTCATAAAGTTTGCAGATCTTCCTCGATGTTCATTATCGAATGAGAGAATAATAGGATATAGAGAATCAGGAAACTGGCTATCAATTTGCAGCGTTAAGATCTGAAACGAAACTTTTTGCTGACCCAAACTTTGCATTACAGTAATTACAGTCTCCCTTGCACATGCAAAAACTAATTCCTGAAATTCAACATAAGGAATTGAGCATGAAAAAAATCCACAGCATATACATGGGCAAAAGTAGTACAGTTTCTCGATTTAATGAACCAAACCCTAAGACTGGTAATGACCTGAGGGGATGAGTTGATTAAGGAGATTCCAATAAATGGAAAGTGCAACTTGATAACTTCAGAATAATCATCCTGAACACTGTGCTTCTGATGAGCATTCTTTTTCTCTTTTAATCCAAGCAAACCAGTTTCTTTCACGTCTTTTATTATGTGATAACTTGAATCTATAATTCTGAGCACCTGAAAAGCAGACCAAAGCTGTTAAATAGGGGGAGGGCGGGGCAAAAATCATGAACACATTTTCACATAGCTTACAGAATTGGAACAGTCTAAACCTTAATTGCTCCTTCTGCATGTACCGACACATAGAGTCTTCTTTCAGCTTTCTGCAAGAAAACTCATTCTTTGTCAACACTATATTTTAAAACAGTCATGACTCATGCCAACAAATTTTTTGCACTTATGACTGTTATTGAGAAACTTAGTGAGATTGGAGAGAGAATGTTATTGTGAAATAATCGGCCCAACCGGGAGTTAACGGGCCTTGAATAGAGGCTAGAAGCCAATTTTAACTCAAAAACTTAAGCTATTAGGTATTTGGCCCTAATTCCTATTTAAACCCATCATTCTTTCTTATACTCACCATTGTGGGACTATACTCACCTCACGACATTATAAACCTTCCCTTAATTTGTGTGTATAGTTCAATCGTCCATGTTCATCCATGAAAACCACGGACCCTTTTGTTGACTTGGTCTAAACAAACAACCATGGAGATAGCGACATGGCTACCAAGATCCACAGAATCTGCCACCATATGTGGATCTTCCACCATATGTAAACTAACTAGACCTTTGTCTACAACAGGAACCATCCATGGCTTTCCGCAGTCATGACTTGCTATATCCTAGGATCTTCGACCATTATGGGTTTTTGGTGGGCACTAAACTGGACTCGGGCATCCTCCCGACATCTTAGGACTTCATGTTGGACTTTTCATTGTACCGGGACATCGGCTTTGTTACAATGTTATTTGTGGAGTTTAGACATTAGAGAGATAATTTACCTCTCTTTCCTATCTTCATTTATAATAGAAAATTAAACTAAATTACTCTTTAAACATAACTTTCTAAATAAACCAAGTCCTTTCATTGTTTGTATTTCAAACAAGTCCTATAAATTTGACCCCTTCTAGTCAAACAAATAGATCATGTTATCCATGAAACATGTGAAGAAAGTCCATGCGAGTCAAAAGATATGTGTTATATACATCATGTGGTGGAAATTTTTAATCTAGAAGAAGCAATTGGAACAATTTATTCATAATTTGGTGTCAATGATACATGAAAACTATAAAATTCAAACATTACGGGTAAACAAAAATTCATAGTATATAGTTGTGTCATATCCCTATATTACATCATCATGTAAAATTAAAAGAACTAAGTTCAAACATAAGTCACAATGCGCTACAACATGAAACATGTGAAGAAAGTGACGCAGGAAAAAGAGAAGTTACATCCAAAGATTACAAATGAACTGTTGTTCTGTCATTTCTAAATATCACTTAAGAATTTAACGTTGCACATGAAGAATCCACACCTCAGATGTTGTCGGTAAATATATTGGCAGGTATTCCTGTTCGCTGTCAAGAGTGTAGGTTCCTAAAATCCGCTCCCCAGGGACCTTATAAGCAAAAGATTTTTGTAAGAATAACAATAAAACAAGAAGTTCTAAACAAGGCTATTGATAGCGGATAGCGTCGCGTAGCGGTGAGGCGTCGCTAAGGCTATTTGGGGCTATTGCAGTAAAATAACGGTAAAAAGCTCAAAATCAAATAGCGGTCTGATTTAAATATGTGTAAATACTAAAAGATTAAAGAAAAAACTAGAAACTCTAAAAGTGCATATTTGATGATTTAAAGAGATCCTAAACATGAAATAGACATGTAATCGTCACATAATACCAAAGACGACTAGAGGAGAAGTCAAGAGTCGTCGTCTTCAAGAAGATGAGCTGAGTGGTAAGAGGACTGCCCTAGGAGGAGCTCACGGTGAAGGAGGTGAGAGGAAGTGCTGAGTTAGGTGCTAGAGGCTATGAGAGGCAGTGGGAGCACGCTGAAAATCGCAGGAGGCAGTGGAATGCAGTGGTTAAAGATCGGGTTTAATTTTAAAAAAATAAATCCCAAACCGCTTTTAAATAGCAATCAAAAAGCGGATTTTGCACATAATCGCTTGCTATTTACCGTTAGGGTGCGCTATTGGTCGTTTTTGCGAACGGAAAGCACATATTCCGCATAATGTCACCGCTATTAGGCAATAGCATAGCAGGAAGGGATCGCTAACGCTATTAGTGCCGCTATTGCGGGGCTATTTATCGCTATTTATAACAGTGGTTCTAAAGAAGAATGCAGAAATTCCTTACTTCAACAACAAGACGATGTGGGTAACAAGGTTCATCCCAGGCATAATGCGCAGATGTGTAAGCATGTACAGTGGTTTCAAAGAATTCACACCTTTGCTGGTAGACCCGTAACCTCTGCAAAAAGAAAGATAAAAAGATTGATAAGTGTCAAAGAATCTGCATCCTCTAGGTCATCGACATATGGAGCATTTATATAGAGACATGGACAGTTACTGAAAAATAAGCTTGTTATACTAACATATGAAGTATCCATAAAATCTTGCAAAGACAATGTGGTTGAAGTGGGTCATTGAGCTTACTTGGTATTGACATATGGATATATGGATATTAATTATCCTCATATATTTCCAATCACTTACTTGACATAACATCAAACTCATCAGCTTAAGAATGTGGTTGAAGTAGTTAACTAATATGGTATCAGACTAAGTGGTTGGATTCAGATCTTGACAATAGCAAATTAAAATCTACTTTAACATCTATCCATTTTAAAAAACTAGCATGTTTGGACATGGGCCTTTCCATGTGGTTCAAAGGCCCACGTGAGAGGAGCATTGACAAATCTTGCTTGATATACATGTAGCTCACAACCCATCACCAAAATCTTTAGTTAAAGTGGTTCATCATCAGGAGCAAATTTAAACTGTGACGATGGAGTTTGAACCAGGACTTCTAGAAACCTGCTGCTGCAGTACTAAGTTGGCTAGCTACTTTATTCTCATTCCTAATCATAATAGCCTAACGGTGTGCATCCAGCAAAAAACTTAACAACTACAGATTGCAGGTTTGTAGTAGAACTAGCTACACTTGGCAAATACAAATTTAAGCTTCCTTATATCAGCTAGTTACGATCGCACAACTATTAAGCAGACTAACTTAAACTCATTAAACAGTCTCTATGACCTACAAGGCTACAATCCTTTCAGTATAAATTAACAAGAGACTCAAAAAAACTCCAATGACACTATACCTTACCAAAAAATTTATGTCGGCGTTGGGTTGATGCCATTGAATGATCATGCTCCCATTCCGATGAGGTAATGGGGATGCAAATCTAAACCTTGGATTTCTAACCTTCTCCTTCCTACTTCTTTATATTGTCTCTATGGGGATACTGGATAGTGACTTGATGTGGTTTCTTGTGCAAATTTGACAAATGTCTTGAATGAGACGAGGTCTTTAGGATTAACCAGCAGGGGTACCTTTCGGCAGTCCTGATAGTTAATGGCTATACAAAAATTTGCTTGTTTAAGAGTTGCAAACATAACGTTGCGAAAACCTGGCTCCGCAGAAGCAGAGAGGCTTCTCAAATACAGCATTTGAATGAGACTAAGAGAACAAGAATAACAGTCTGTAGCTGCTCATACCGCAGAAGGAAAAGAAGATTTAGCAAGGAATTTGAATAGCCGTTTTGCTTGAGAATTCTGGCGTGACATTTGAAAACACCTCATATGCTACATAGAAGGGAACTTGGACAGTCAGACATTTCAGATACAGATGGACTGTTTCACAGGTTACCGTTAAAACTTAAACTGTAAAACATCTGCCAATTGACATAAGAAATTCTAACGTAAAAGTTACATGAAGCTGTGTAATCTACTGAACCCTCCCTGGAAAAAAAAACCCTGAAATTTGCATAACCTAGGACCTTGAATGGCAAAATAAAGCAAAGAAAAGAGAGAGGAAAGATGCACCACAGTAGACTCAACACTTCTGGCTTGAGTTATGATCTCTCAATTACAAAGTTTGTGAGAACGCTAAGGCCATCCAAGCCTAAACATATTGGGCCTTGGTTATCTCAATATAAGGTTTGATTAATTTATCAGACAGAAAAAGATACGTCATAGGCCTGAGTTGGGGTCCGTTCAAGAAAACAAGCTCTAAAAAAAGTCCAACGTAACGAAGTTAACAAAACATGCAGTATGGCCATGATGCCCTGAAAAACATGTAACACATTAAAAATCATTATTCCGTGTTCATGGACTGGTAAAACAACAGAATTTATCCATGGTTCACTTTCTACATAAGATCCTTTCAGTTTCACCACATACCTTCGTAGATTTATTTCCTTTAATACAATTCCAGTAGTTACAGGTGCATTATATTTTTCCATTCATCTGGAAAATTTTATATTGATTAGAAAATGATTACTCCTCAGCCTGATGACCTTGAACTATATATAACTATCCATACAGCCAACCCACTAGCTTGCCAGAATTCATAGCAAGTTAGTTGCTTCCACATTATCTTGGCTAGAGGCCCATTTTAGAGGGTTTATATAATGTGATAACCAGTAAAAGTTAAACTTTCCATGAACCTTGTGCTCAATACCCATATTTTAATCAGAAAAAAGCAGAAGACATTGATAAGCTTCTAGCTACAATTATCTTTTTCAGTATTATGCACAATTATCAGGGTGACTAGATATATAAATCTGACAAGCAACTTAGCAAACAGCAAGGTTGTAAATATCGGTTATCAGGAATTTGACGGTCAAAATCCATATCGGATAGCAGATATCAGGGATATATCGGGGATAAGTAGTATTTATCGGAGTGATATTACTGGATGGTGATAGACACAATATAATATTCTAAAATGTTATCTAACCACACTTAATGAAATATAAACATACCAAAAAGTAAATAATTATATTTAGGATCACTAACCAATTGTAGAAACTCAGATCGGTTCGGGTTTAAAGTGCATTGAATAGGTATCTGTTGTCCAAAATCAAAACTCAAACCAAAGGCCGATAATTCCGATTTTTGGGCCGAATCAGCCGATAACTCACTTTATCGCTGCATTATTGGTGATAAAAATCTAAAAGCGAAAACCGATTTAGAATTAAACTTATCATAGCGGAACGCCCCTAAAACCGATAAATCGCCGATAATAACGGTTTATCAGACGATATTTAAAACATTGGCAACCGGAGATCCAAACATTTCAGGACTGTTGGTTGAAATTGCTCAGAAAATACTAAATGACAAGAGAAGAGAGATACATAAGGAGAGTGAGAAAGCAAATAAGTTAATCTTCATTCTAATAAATTATTAATTGCTAGAAAAACCGCACCAAAAATTCAAAAGTCAACAAAAGCAGTTGTCAAGTTTGTTGAAATCGTAATTCCTACGGCAAAACAAGACCAATACCGGAAATGAAAATTTATTACTGTTTTATAGTGAAGAACTTCTATTAATTTGATAACTTGACATTTCATAAGATTTAAAATTTAATCATTAAATTTATGCATAATCTATGTCAAGACTTAAGGTTAGGCACGTTGTTCCCCATGTAGAATCACAACATCCACACAATTTTCTTAAAAAGTTGATCTATCCTTTTGTCATATCCAAATATCAGAGGGTTTCTGCAGCACAATGTTCGCATCATAGCACATAACTGTGTCTGCATCCCAACAATTGCCATAACGTGAAGTCCATGAAGATAAATTTAGCGGACAAAAAAGTATTTCACAATCCATTGAACAAGCAACCGCCTGCTTGTCATTCTGACATTTCCACAAGCTTATTAATATCAACCAGCATAAAACTCAATAAAAGTAACATTCAATAAAGAATATGGAAATGGCCACCTAAACATGATCAGGATAATAGAAAGAAAATAGTGACAGCTTATATTCAAAGACATCTTAGTTACAACATAAATAGCACATATAATTTGAACTCAATGAAATTTTACTTGAAATATGAATGACCCTTTTATGGTATAACTTAATTAGGGCTTTATAATATTATGTAAGAGCAGAAAACACAAGACAGACTTGTTTCTTATTAAAAAAAATAGATAAAAATAATAAGTTTACCTTATTAAAATAAAAAGAAATAATGTGCTTGCTTTACTATTAGATTCTGATATAAGAGAATGTTAAGGCACAAAAAGATGAACTTCAATAATACAATCGTAACTGGCAAGCTCATATGTTTAAACACCAAGTATTCTAACATGGCATGCTACAACGATATTGTATGTACAACTGTCCATTTTAATATTATATCAAACCCTTTGCTCTTAGAGGATTATTTCTTAATATGAAGAATACAAGACTACCTCCTGAGGACAAGAAGCATAATAAAACTCAAAAAGGACAACGGTTTTGACCATCAATCAAATAAATAAATAAAGATCATTAGGAAGCAAATAGAAGCCAAAGTAATAGATAACAAAAAGAAATAACATCAGCTCCATGTAATAATTACCTCCATAGAGAAATTGTCTATCCTGTAAGGCATAAACCCACTCTTGTCATCAGATATAATAATCAATTGGGTTGAAGAAGTTGCACCGGCAGTCTTGATCTTCTTGCCCCTGATGGCCAAATCAGCATTTTGAACTTCAACTCGAACCATATGTGATGTCTCAGAGACATAGTTACGCATTTTAACTTGAACATCTCCAAAATAATCAGGAAGAAAACTCCCTGACCATTGCCACCCAGGTGTGTTAAATCGAATGGATACGCAGAGCTCTCTGTTGTATACATGGAAACAATATTAGTAACTGAAAAAAGTAATAAAAAAGTAAGAACTAATTTTATACACAAATTATGGAAAGACTTTGATAATAAAATCAAATAAAAATTTTTGGGTTATTTAGCCATTTGTCTGACAAATCTTTGAAATTGTCCGTCTCTCATATCTTAAAGATGTCTTGCATACTAGTCCGCAAGTTAAATATTACCTCATATCTAACGTGTTGAAGGAAACTTCCAGTCATACCTCTCAGTTAGGTTTAACCAACCCATTTCTTAACAGGTTTAAACCAAAAACCCACTGACTCAAAATCCAAAAACCTCACAAACATCATCTTCTCCAATGGTCAAAATCCCCCTAATACATTTCTGAGCTTCCCCAGTCAGCTTTCCCAACATTGAGGGGTATTCTAGTAATTGAGCAAGGTTTTAAATATCGGTTATCCGGAATTTATCGGACGGTCAAAATCCTTATCGGATAGCGAAAATCGGGTATATCTCGGGGATAAGTAGTATTTATCGAAGTGATATACTGGATAGTGTATATATATAATATAATAACTAAAAAATGTAATCTAACCATGTTTAATGAAACATAACCATAGCAAATACAATTACACAAGTATATATTTATTTTATTTATTTCATCACGTCATAAAATTTTATGCCTAACATCAGTCAGTTTTATTTTGTTGCAGACTTGAGTTCAAAATGACATCAAGATTCCAAGGAATGAAGGAACTGAGGAAGATAACTTAAAATAGCAATTGTAAACTATTTGCCGATCTAAGTTGTAAAACTAATCAATATTAGTCGCAGTGAACAGTGATTCGATGAAACTCAGAGATTATTGACCGAGTTATAAACTTATAATTAGCTAAAGTAGTTGCAGTGAAAAATTAGTTGCAGTTAAAACTAATTACTCAAGTAAAAACTAATTGCTCAAAATTAATTGTAATTAAAACTAAATTTACTTATACAGTCTTACAAGTATTTTCTTAAAATTAATTACAAGTTTGCTATAAACTAATTGCAGTGAAAAAACTTTTAAGACTTGTAACTAATTTCTTATACAAGTCTCACAACAAGTCACAGTATTTTAATACAGATATATGGGGAAATCCTAAAACTTCATAGAAATTCTTACAGAAAAAACTTATAAATATCAAGTTACGTATTGATGAAAGTGACGAACATAGATAATTTTGTTTTTTCAAAGAAGAGAGAGCATAGGAAGGGTTAAAAGAAAAAAGAGAAAAGAATAGTAATTGGAGGAGACCCTCGGAATTGATAAGTTACTGAAGTTCTCTCAAATGTCTAACTGAGTTGGATTCAACCCCAATCTAGCATAGCTTCACCTTAGATGAAGAGAATAAATGAACTTAAAAGAAAAAGTCAAAAAACAACTGAGAAGTGAATAGATACATGTTCGATACTTCGATGGAGTTCGAAGAGGAGAGGAGCGCCGACGGCGAATGTTGGGGTCAACGGAGGTGAGCTCCAAGGTCGGAGAGGCGAGGTTCGAGATCGGGGAGGGGAGCGACGAGGTTCACGAAGGTTAGGGCTAAATGTTAGGGCTGAAAGTCGGGGAGTCGAGCAAGCGATGAGGTTCACGAAGGTGAGGCAAACGACGAGGTTCATGGAGATTCACGAAGAGGCACGGAGAACAGCGCACATAGAGGGAGAGATTCACAAATGTTAGGGCTATAGTTTTATTTTATTGTCAAAAGCGGTCGGGTGGGGTTTAAGAACTCAACAATTCAACTCAAAAACTCCAGACCGATAAACTCGATATTTTCAACTTCTCTTATCGGTCAATAAGTGCCTTTATCGCCGATAAACCCATACGATAACCGATTAAAAATCCTACTTATCCTAGCGGAAAGCTCCCAAATCCGATAAATCGGCGATAATATCGGATTATCGACCGAAATTTAAAACAATGTAATTGAAGGTGTTGGATTAAGAGTTAACTCAACCATGGTTTTAAGATCTAACCGAAAAACTAACATAGGGACTAATTTTCAAGACCCCGTAATATTTGAGGGACATATGAGCGGTTTCAAAGATTTTAGGGACTAAGATGGAACTAATGAAGATTTGACGGACAAACTAAAATCTAAATAACCCAAAGTTTAATAATACAAGCAAACCAAAAAAGAATTACAGCTATAGCAGAGAAAGGGTAAAAGGTCCAGAAGTTAGAGCGAAGTTTTCGAGGCATGGAAAAATCTAAATACAGTATACCCTAAGCATAATTTAAAAAGGAAAATCATATAGCGTAAAGGAACAAGGAGTAACAAGGTACTTGTATCCAGACAACATTATAAAAATTGTATATAGACCATTCTCATGATTTAATATCATTAAAGCAAGCCACATGACGAGATCTCCATTAAAAGGAACATATCTTGTTAAAATGTCATATCAATTTATGGGTAACTTAATGTAATACAAATAAACAAACATTGTTTATAGAATATAAACCCTGTGAGGCATTATTAGATATCAATGTTGAAAAAAGCGTAAGGTGATGTGCTAAAGACCCTTTATTGAAGCGAGGCGTAAGCTTCAAAGCGTGAGGATTAAAGTTTAAGCATTTTAATTTTAAAATCTGTAAAAATTATGAACATATAATATATAGTGGTATAATAATTTACAATGTGATACATTCATGTCCCAAATAGTAAATAATAATAAAATATGTTAAGAATAGATGCAAATCACAATAAACTAAGCTATATGCATAACATACATTATCTTATTTACATATGCATGGTTATATTGAAGATAATAGTCAAAATTTATTCTATATGCTCTTAATCTTATCTAAAGTGTGCGCTTCAAAATAGAAGTGCTTTTATGAAGCACTAAGTACACACTGCATTAATGCTCTAAACAATAAGACGTAAGCTTCAAGGGATAAATTGCTTCATCTTCAGTTTTGAAGCATTTATTCTTCAAAACGTTTGAACCGAGTTTCAAAAATGTTAGATATCATTAGATATTAATAGATAATATTAGATATTACGAGATATAATGAGCATGATAAATTCCATACCATTTTGTAATATCCTACTAATCTCTATTTAACAAAGTTTAGGGTTTGTAAGAATAAAAAGTTAAGTCTTCTCTTTTTCTCTCTCTACATGGCACCAGCATACTTATTGATCCTAGAGAACTTCTCCCCCTTTATGGATGAAGATGTTGGAAAAATACATGTGTAAAAAAATGTGTAGCAGAGATGAGAATATTATGATGGGCTAATTGATATACACCAAGTGATAAGATAAGATAAGAAATCACTGCATTTGCAAAAGAAGCCAAATGTTGCTCCTATTGTGGATAAAATGGGAGAGAATTGTTTGAGATAGTTTGCTCATGCAAAATGGAGCGCATTAAATGCACCAATTAGGAGAAATAGTAAAATTATAATTATTGAAGAAAGAAGGCCTTGAGGTAGACCTAAGAAAATTTTGTTACAAATTGGTAAGAAGGATATAATAATAACCAGCTTATTGGAGGGGATAGCCTTTAAAACTAAGTTTCTTAGTACAAACCATGTGGCTAAACCCAAAAGTTTAGGGTAAAAACTTCGTTTTTGTTGTTGTACCAACTAAATGATAGACTAGTGGTAAGACCAACCCTCCTAGTCATGTTAGAATTGGTGGGCATCACCACCACCTCTATTTGTTGACGACTTATTCTGCTATATGAGGTGACAGTTGTATGCACGCGCACGCAGATGTATATACACACACACGTGTGTGTATAGATATGTGTGTGTAGATGTATATATATGTGTGTATAAATATGTATGTATATATGTATATACGTGTGTGTGTGTGTTTGTGTATGTATATATGTAGATATATGTATATATATGCACACATAATGAGCTGAACTTTTAAAATTATAGGAATACCCCTATGTTGATAAATGACTTAACAATCCAAAGAAAACACAGAAAATTCCTTAAATCAAATGAAAGCACCTAAAATATTAGATAACAATGAAATAAAAAATTCAAAACTAATACTACTAAAATTATGTTATCAAACTCTGCATTGGTTTCTAGACCTCCAGCATTAGCACATCTCAAAACCTTGACCACAAGTTGGAGGGTAGGCAAATGTATTTTGTGGTCATGGAACTAATGAGTTACAGTCCAAATTCTGTTAAAAGGGTCTAGATAACGTGAGAACGTGTCTGCTTAACAGAAATTCAGAATATATTCTACATGGAGACACAGGAATAAAATACAAGAATGAAAACTAAGTTTAATCTAGATTACTGGGTAACAAATGTCTTTCTGATAAAGAATAGTGAGAAACCTTGATGTATCCGACCAATGAAGATGAGAATGCTGCCCAACGCCCAATCTATAAAATTCATTAGTTCCTTTCTGCTTGTAGCATAACTCTTGGTTGCATGCATTGCAAATGACATATCTGCAGTGAGAAGAGAAAATATGACAATCAACGTTGACTTTTGAATACCATAGTTTTCTGAGCTCAAGTGAATTGTAACAAATAATTATTTCGCCTAGGGAACAAATTAAAATTTTAAGACCGAATATACTCTACAATGGTAAAAAAACCAGCTGACAATTTACTGGTGCAAAGATCTATTTTGTCATTAAGGCTTTAAAAATTAACAATTCATTACTGAAACCATGTAACCTTTTGTTTTTAAAGGTAGAATGACATACATATTACATGCATTACAGAAGGCTAAACTGAAAACAAAAATAAAGAAATTCACAAAAATATGTGGTCGGACTTTAGATTAAATGTCCTCTTTATGTATGGTTTCTGATGTCTCATACTCAAATTTTTTGTTGTGCGAGTCTTTGATAATTGGCTACATACAATTTCATTTGAGACAGTAAGTAAATACTGATTATAGCTCACGAATTATTCCAATAAACTTCTTGAGAGTGAATAGCAGTGAGAAGACTGCCATATTTTTTTATCACCATCTTCTGTGGAATTTAAGGTCAATTGGCCATTTGCGTTTTAAGCTAAAATGCTTCTATTAACTTTCAAACCTAGACTGCTAGACTGTTTAAGCTAAAAAAAAGTTTAAGCTGAAATACTTTATATAACAATTGAAAAGTTATCAGATGGCTGCTATCTCACCACCCACAGCCATGTGCATGTATGCATGCTAGAGGGAGTTACAATAGAAGATAATAATCTATGGTTTCCAGGATACTTTGCCGAACGAAGAGCATGGATATCATATGTGATCAACAGTATTTGACACTTGCAAATTTATTAACTTCTATTTAGCTAAAATATTATATAAAAATGGTGTATGTTGTGCCCCTTCAGGAAAAAGCTACTTATATATCATATTACTAAAATCCGGTCTTTTCATAATCTCAGATGAAATACACTTTACTTATCGCCTTGGTTTTGAGTTTTGGACAATTGCTTTGTCTGGCATTCGTTATCCATGTCTGAGTCTGAAACTTTTCCTCATGTCATTGCATGAAAACTTCTATTCGTGTCTACTAATCATAGATAAAAATGACAGTAATGATCATTAAACAGAATAGCTATCCAAATACAGAATATTTCACAAGACAGAAGTGCTCAAATTTTATTATAAGGCTATTTTGATCAAAGAAAACAATTTCTTGAGCAATTATGTAAGATAATAATGCAAGTAAAATAAAACAGACAGATCCAGGACCAAAAGAATTGGACAGCACATCCATCTCCTTTGGGCCTTTTGCTTGAAATTTATTACTGATTTGTTATGTTTTGATCATTCTTGATGAATTGTGCAACTGATCTACTGACCAAATTATGTAACTGATCACAATAATTTCTCTACTAAATTTGAAATCCAGATAAGTTCTTCTCTAGCACAGTAAAAATCCTTGAATATTGAAGCAGTTGTATAGTAAGTACCAAGTATTGACATGAAATGAAACTTTATACAGATAATCAATGAGAACCCGAAAACCTACTTAGTTTCTCATTATTCTCATCCTTACTGACACTTTGAAAACTCACCTGGGTTGAAAAGTGATAGCCCTTGTCCTTCCTGATAGTTCTCCCTCAACAGGAATAGATGATGCAGAAATCAAGAATGCACCAGACCCATTTGGTTTAGGAATAACAACATTAGCCGAACCACTTTCCGGCACAAGGGGAAATGGACTTGACCAAGTTGGGCACAAAACATTTCCACTAATGCATTGAGGCATATGTGCGCACAATTTAACAATAAGTACAGATGCAGGAATATGTCCAAGAGGGCAATACATAAATGGCTTCACCTCTCCACCGGATGCAATTTGTGTGTGGTGATTTTCATTAACCACATCTTTTTTTTCACTATTCCTTGAATAATGTAATAATCTCTTCGTAGGCCAACCATTTACAGAACTGGAAACAGAGGTCACCGCAGAATCCGGATAACTACTGCTAGAATAGTCACGGTAATGCCTATAAGTAAATGGGAAAGGGAAGTGCCTAGTCAAAAGCTTATGCAGATGCAAACTAGATTTCTCTCGAATAGATATAGTATGACTATTAACACCTAAGGCGCCAGCAGAAGACTCTGATCCAGAAGATATAAGAGGAATGCCTTGTTTTCCAGATAAGAGATATTCATCTTCAATCAAATGGTAACTGGAGGGAATAATTTCAGCAGTTCCCTTACCTTCATGGTTACCATCAACAATAGACAGTGTCAAACCAGTGCAGTTATACAACAAAAATGAAACATAGAGGAAAATTTCTCGAGCACCAGAGAATACATCCATTACTTTCTCAACAGTGACATAGGTAGGCCCTGGGATAACAATTGGATGTTAGTACATGCATAATATTCAAGCATAAGCATCAAATATGTCTTGAAAAAAGAATTTACCACTAGAGGTTTCAGGAAAAAGGGCCAGAGTCTCGGATAAATAGTACTTCAATCCATTTAACTTGGCCGTAGAAGAAAACGCTTCTACCCGAGGAAATTTTACACCAATAGGCATGTATCCTTGCATGTGTAATGTGACGCCAAGGTCATTTGTAGAATCAACATGAAAAACAGAAGCAACGTCTGCCTGAAAGTTGAACAAAAATCAACAAAAAAAAGGAAGAAACCGTTGCCGTACTTAATTTTAAATAATAACAAATATTCGTCCGTATAAGAACATATCACCCAGCAAACGTTCGTACTGACCTCTTTCACAGAAATAGAATGTGCGACTCCACTGCTTTCTACCATCAAAGATAGGCCTAGCGGAAGGTAGTTATGCACCACAAACGGAGTCGTCAATCTAATTTCACGTATAAGATGCTTCTTTGTTATGCCAGGTTCAAGTATTCCTTCATTAACATGGTTGACTGTTTCCCTCCTGATTCGCTGACTGCCAAGGGACGAATGTTTTCTTGGTCCGCCTGATGGAGACAGGCTATAATCTTGAACGGATATGCAACAGCGGAAAGGATCACTGGTAGGCTGGGCAGGATAGCACACAAATGATCTCAAGAATCCAAGCTTATATTCTTGGGAGAGTATGTTCAATAGTGAGTGGGCTTCGCTCCACAAATAACTATTGCCTACTGGACGCCATCTCATTCGACCAGCCTCAGCCAAATGAAGTGGCAGTGGAATGTCTTCTCCAGGAAGAATAGGATCTAAGATCTGAAACAAGGAAAAAAGAATGGGTAAACTTTCTTCAGTGAAAAATTGGTGAGCTTAATATTGTTAAGACAAATAAACTTACAAATAACTCAGTACATACAGAATACAACTTAAAATGTTAGAAATGATTAGAAAAGGAGAATCAATATAAAGAATATAGCAAGAGGAGTGGTTGACAGATTGATTATCACCATAATAGAACAGTGAATATTAAAAAGGATTCTGAAATCTGAAATTGCAGCTTACATTTTTTTTCAATTTTGACATGCATTCAGATTAATCATATAAAATAGCAAAAGACATAATTTCATGAACCTCAAGTAGTCAGACAGATTACAGTTATACCTTAGAAGAAACTCCGAACGGAATATCAAAGCGTAACTCCAGAGGCATTGATGTTGAATTGAAGAGTATGACCTGAATTAAATAAGCATGAGCTCCGATAAGACATTAATGACAATACATATACTCTTAACATGGTACCTACCGTTGAATACAATCTTATCATCTTGCTATAGTGCTGCATTGAAACCTCAAAAACAACAGGAACAACTAATCCCTTATTTTGATCACTCCTATATCTCCCCGTCATTCTATTGAACCCCGAGGTATCATTTCCCCTTTCATTCTCTATCACCTCTGATTGCTTATCATTGGAGAAGTTAACCTCAAAGCAACTAAGGCCCACAAGGTCCATTGACATGGGTTTAGAGGGACCAGTAGTTCCTTCAAGGTGAATGGATATCATATGATGTGAGAGAGCATTTACTTTTTTCTCTATAAGTCGCTCAGAAGAATAAGCTGTGCCATGTCGAAAATATTGTTCATCAGCTGTTTCTTCAACATAAATTGGAACTGTGTAACCTGGTTCGACAATATTTTGATGATTCCTTAAGGAGCCATGAGTATCATCTGTACTGATGGAACCACGAGAAACATGAAATGTCAAAGGCAATGATGTGTCATTTTGAAGAATATATGGGGCGTATCTTCTGGTATGAACGTCCTCAGTTGAATGAAATCCCAATATTCCTCGAAGTTCAGCTGCTTCCAATTGCTTTAGTGCATCAGCAATCATTTGCTTTGCTCTGAAAATGGCCTGCAATGATTTCAGACACCAACAATAACTACAAACAACAAAAGAGAACATACTGAAAAACTGCATTTCCACCTAAAAATCAGCAAAAGATCAAGTACAACAAAAGCTGTAGACTGTTATAGTTTGACAAAGAAAGGTAATATGCTGTCAGTTACCATAATACTACAGACTAGGCACATGCAATGCAGCCATTAATATGGATGCCAAGATAGGCAAACTTGATAGTGAGGACATAAAAAGTAAAATATTCAACTTTTGGCTCTAAGAACATTGCTTTAAATATACCTGACATGCCCCGATATATCGATTGATATATCCTTTTACAAGGCTTGCCGCAAAACAATATGGGCTAAAAATATCCTTTACTGCTTTTTGACAATTTTTGGTTAATATATCCCTGACATGGCTAATATTTCAGACGATATGTCCTTTCATATCCTTTTCATAAAACAATATACCACTTTTAGTAATTTTTGGGTGATATATCATGATTTTTCCCATATATAACGTGACATTGGGCCGCTAAAAAATCGGACAAAAAGTTGCAATGTCGAGTTGGACTTTTATTTGTTTTAAAAGGTATATTAGTGATCCCAAACATATATTATTTACATTTTTATATGCTTCGGTTTCATTAAGTATGTTAAAATTACATTTTAGGACATTATATTACCACATTTCCGCGATATCCGCAATCCGGTATGAATTTTGATCATCCAATATTTCCACGATATATGATATTTAAAACCTTGTCTAAGAAAGCAGTCTCAAATGTCAGCCTGTACAACCAAACTAGAGCTATTTTTCGGACCACGATTTGGCTTGGACACGAAGTACAATATTTACATCTGATTTAAGTCCATTCAGTCAATTACCTTTGGTCTGCAACTTAATCCCATGACGCTGTTGTCATTTTCTGTAACTAGATCCTTTCTGGACTCACATTTCTGTTGAGACCTACATAACTCCACTTCCTTCCACAGTATTTGTAACAGAGGAATTTGTAATAGGCAGTTAAATTATCAGTTAACAATGTCAATCTGATATAAATTGAAATGAATGCTTAAAGCTTTTCAATGAGCACAGCAAAGGCAGGCAAGAGTTTCTTTATCAAATATGAAAAGCTAGCAACTTGTAGAATGTTAATCTAGGAACAGCGAGAATTCTATACAGATTTCAAAAGGCAGTGCTCTCAAAAATATATATAAGACTGTACAAACCCCTGAAAGATCAGAAAACACGTACCTCAATGACTGGCTCCGTAATATTCAAGTTAAGATGCTCAATTGATTCCAGATATACATTAGTATTTGCAGATGTGTTCAAGAGAACTGTTCCGACAAACTTTCGTACCAAGTTTAGCTTAAAGTGGCAGGGCTCGACAAATGGTTCCCACATAACCTGTAGATTATTATAACGTCATAACTAACAAAAAAGGAAGTGACCAACTTACACCAAACAATACCTTGTCAATGTTATTGTAGTTAATTATAACGTCAGCACTGGCAGAACCCTCCAAGATATCCTGTGTTTGCTTGAATTCCACCAACATATTATTTGTCAACATCTCAAATATAGGTCCATGGTAGCTCAACTATGAAAAAAGAAAGAAATATAAATAGATCAGATAAGGAGACAAAAACAAATCAGGATATGCCCACACGTGTGTGTGTAGAGAGAGAGAGAGAGAGAGAGAGAGAGAGAGATGAGCTATGCTACTATCAATCGTATCCAAGATACAGATACTAAAGACTAAAGTTAAAACTTAGATTTGCAAATTGGAAATGCAGACTGTTGGATGTGATCCAATACACTTGAACTAACTGTAAACAAAATTTCAGATGAATTCAACATGCTTTTAATCATGTCTCAAGGAGTAAACAATTATTGATCTTGTGAAATTTCTGAAAAGTTGATTTTCAACAACCTAAGATGCATGGTTAAAAAAACTTTATCAAAAATTTTGTTAGCGGGTAGTTCATGTGTAGTAGACCACAACCAACAGTGTAGATTTTCAATTTGAAAATCCAAATTTTTGAGTCTACAGTATCCACATTCAGGATACTACTAATAGTAATATAGCACAATCTTGAACTTTAAACATTCAGTGTAATAATGTTTTTGTTATCAGTAAGGCATGCTCCTTTGAGCTTAGCATATCATGGAGATTTATAACTCATAAACAGTTGCTAAAGAGAAATAACATGTGAAAGTAGCATGCATGGTTTTAACCATGACAATGATCTGATCTGCCATTTAAACTATTATGATGCGTGAACAAGGGAAACGACAAACGCATGCAAAATAAATGTCACTGTTCAATGGAGCTCCTTGGCTATAATAAAATTGTTGACATCATAAATTCCTATTATAATAGGGTGAGATGAAAGGAAGCTCGACAGAAGATACTACCCACTTTCTATGATGGGATATCAATCTAACATCAACCTCCTATAAGTTGATAACAAACTGCCTAGTAAACTATTACAAAAAATAGAACCTTATACTAGAACCTTGAATGCTAGTTGACAGATTGTACATCTGGCCCCCTGATCATGTTAAGTTCATGTGACAAGAGGACAGCCAGCCTCAAATTTCCAAACGCCAGCAAAAAGTGTCAAGTCAAGGAGGTATGGTAATAATGAAAGAAATGAGGATGACAATAAACTCTATGGGCACAAAATAAACTAAAGTAAAGAAACTCATTATCTGATTAGCTTTACAAAGTTTTGAGATCCAAACTTGTTTTGAAATAAATAATTAATCAAATACTTAAAAGAGATAGTGAAGCATCAGTAACAAGAACTGTAGTTTTTTTTTAATTAGGATCTGTTTGTCTATGTTCTTAAGCGTTTGCGGAAGATTCATGATGAACTTGGCTGTGAAGAATTGTTTTCAGATCCAAATTCATGAACTTTTTGTTAGGAGCTCCAAATCATAAATTTGGCTTCACTTCAAAGATTGGTTTCATATCCAACCATAAACTAATCATGAGGATCTTACAAGAGGATGATGCAACACATGAATGTATTTCTTTTCAAATATTAATTCATCAGTTCTCTCGAATGAAACAATAGAACTAGACATATAGGGCCAGAGTTTTAAAATTACAGAAACACCCACCAGGCTGAAAAGTCTCTAAGCAGCTAAAAATCCATATTTAAAAATAAGAAAACCAGATAAGAGCAAATAAAAATTTCACTAGCTCAGAAACCAACAACAAAGCATTAAAATATAATAAAAAATTGCCTTCCTAGTAGCTTCTTAGTCCGGATCACATTGGTTTCGATTACAACTTAGAATATAACAGATAGAAAAATATCGACAGCCCCCAGGCTGAAAAGTATCTAAGAAGCTAAAAATCCATATTTAAAAATAAGAAAACCAGATAAGAGCAAATAAAAATTTGCCTTCCTAGTAGCTGAGAAACCAACAACAAAGCATTAAAATATAATAATAAATTGCCTTCCTAGTAGCTTCTTAGTCCGGATCACGTTGGTTTCGATCACAACTTAGAATATAACAAATAGAAAATATCGACAGATCAATTTGTTTTAAGGCAAAGAAATTTAAATCACCAGAAGCGCCTAGTTTTCTTTGCCTACTATTAAAACAAAGGACTTCGCAATGTTTCCTTCCAAAATCAACAACCATTACACATACTGCCATGTTCTCTTTCATTCATAAATCAAATGTACATTCCTCTTTCCTCAGAAACCAAATATGATGTCCATGATTTTGAGCACGAATGACTTTTCTGGGAAAGCATAGCTTCCAGTGGAAGATTCATGTTATAGTTTATCATGATGCCACACTGAAGGCAATAGCCAGCAGATTGAATGGAGAAACCTCCCATGTGGACTATGAAGGAAAGGAAGACTTCATCATTGATCGGTTTGATTTCATCATCAGGCTCTCTCAAGTAGTGATTGTTTTGACTAAGAAACCGGTATTGGACTGTGGCGGCTGCAATACTCAAACGGAAACAAAAAGACAGGAGAATAAAGGGAAAGTATGGGTTATTTATTTGGCTGTTTTACTTCTCTTCCATGCCATCTTTTAACAAGGGCTGAAAGGTATTTTTGTCTTATGGACAAACAAGATTTTAAAAGCAATTACATTGGGGATAAATTGAAAAAATGAAGCAAATTGGAGGCCAAGCATGTATAATATTTAAGGGGAAAATTTAAAACTACCTATAAATAAGGGCATATATCTAAACTCAAATATAGCACTAAAAAAATAGTTTGCCTTCTTCGCTCATTGTCCCTAAACTCAACCCTGATCTTAACCTATCAAATTATAACTCTAATCCTAACCCTATGTATAATCCAAATCCTAACCCTAAGCCTAATCCTAACTCTAACCCCAAACCTAGTCTTAATCAACAGAACCTCAGGAGATCGGGTGCATAAGAAAAGGTACAAAACAAGTAAACAAGATGAAGAAGAGGGCAATGTGGTTGTTGCAGCATGTGACGCCAGCTATGAGGAAGATCATGAAGAAAAGAATGAAAGAAGAGGAGATGATGGTATCACCAGCAAGGAAGTCCACCTCATCATCTGGAGAATAAGATGGAAAAGGTGAGGAAGGAGGAAGACCAAGGGTTTGATTGAAGCAGGATGATTAATTGTTGGAAAAAAACCAACCTAATTATCTGTTGATAATAGAGGGGTTTCTATAAGAACTTCTCTTAGTTCAGAGGAATTAAACGCAGAATGATAATTTTAAACTGCGATAATGGACATATGATATTTAACTGCAAAGAGAATTTAATAGTTTAATAAACAAAAAAGTGCATGGTGTTTTCAAGAACAGCCGTAAAAAAATGGTAGTTATCTTGTAAAAAAATTTCCTTCATATTTTTATCAGAAACAATGAAAATAAACACTAAAAGGATCAAACTGAGGTCTGACAATATTGAATTATAAGTTTCAACATATATGAATTTTAATATACAGAAACATCATAATTAAGATACCACGTATAAAGCAAGGAAAACAATAGATGAACTGAGAATTAATAAAGAATCGTTTCAATAGCACGTAACAGCCAAGTATCTAAATATTTATTATCATGTCCAACTAGGAACAAGCCACCATTAAACTGCCTACTATGGTTTATGATATAGGAAACATATAGCGCAGACAACATGAACATAAAGTTGAGGGTTTTACCCTTCCATCACTTAACAGCAGCGAGCCTTTCCGCAAATGAACATGGCAAACTATGCAATGACATGGAAATGGTGACGATGATCTTTCAGGAAGTTGGAGTTCACTGTTACTCCAAAAATTGAATATCTGATATGAAAGTCCAACATCAACAGATTCTACATGAACTTCAGTACTGAAATGCATCAGCTCCCCTTGTCTTTTCTGTCCATTGGTTTCTAATTTAATTTGAGAAATCAGTATGAATGGCATGGAACTAATATTCTGGTCATGGACCATCTCCAATATTGCTCTCACTTTTTCCATATTAAATTGCAATTTCACCCATGTTTTGCCTATAGTAAATTCACAACATCTACTTTGAAGAGAAAAGTTTACATACTTGCAACGCTTGGATACTTCATCTATTTTGGGATCACCAAGATGTTCTTCCTTGTCCCAGAAGGGTAAATGAAGTGCAATTGCAGAGTTCTCAGATTTTATAATCAGAATAATGTCTTCCTCCATCACATCCTCTGAGGCAGAACTATTGAACACTTGAGATCCAGGGTCACCATCATATATTGATTCCGGATTTGCAGCAGATGAATTTGAAGCACTATCAAATTTACTATATGATGAAAGAACATCAATAAAATTATTCCACTCTGACAAATGTAACCAAACATCAAGAAAAGGTATTGAAAATAAAAGTTCTTTCTTGCCACAATCAGATTCAGAGAAGTTAATATGAAGATGAGAAATCAATGAACTATCGGAGACAAATGATGCCAATGGACGATTAGTGTTAATTGAATGCAGAAGTAGACAAGGAATATCGATATCCAAGAATCGCAAAACTCCCTTCTCCAATGATGCAGAAACATTAAGCTGCAAATTTATTTTTGCCATCATTTCTGATGCAGACTCTTCTATCCAGAAGCGAGAGAATCTAATTGAGATTGTATCTGCACAGAGCTTTATATTCATAAGAGTCCTATTTGAGGTGTCAAGGGTAACTGCTTTGGCCTCTTTCAGGGTCTTCCTAATCTGCAAAAACTGCAGGACATCGGAACTGAAGAATTTGGATTCTTCACCAATAGAGGAAAGCTCCTCAATGACACTTCTAATAGCCCGGATTCCTAGGACAAGGTGCCTGTCTGCAAAGGAGAGGAAAATAACAGAGGGAGGAGGGAGTTAGACAAATATATATTGGAAAAATGCTACCCTAATAATATATCAATACATTTTTCCCTTTACCTTCTGCAATCAAGTTACAAACACACACTCTCATCATAATCGAAGTTGGCAAAGCAGACTGCTCAGGACATGTGTTAGTTGTGCAAGGTATCCTAACCCAGAGATCAGCATCTAGCTGCTCAATAAGAGGGACATTTGCAATACGGCTATATTCATCTGCTTTCAACAGGAAACCAGCATCTCCCTTGAGTGGTATTAATGATAGAGACAGATTTCTACCAAAAAGATTGATAATGTCAAGTTTATCAGCAGTTAGATGGCTTGGAATCGCGCAGCTTGAAGGAATATCCTTATCAGCATCTACTATACTGCTCATAAGAGTAGAAGCGAAGTATAGCTGAGAAAGTCCAAGCTGTAAACAAAAATTTGGTTGACTTTCTACCGGTAAAATCAGTCTGGAATGAAGTATCTCAAATTTATACAAGAAAGCAGAACTACAGCTTTGAACATTTTCGAAGTCATCGATTTCACTGGCGCATTGATTGATGACATCTTCATTTCCCTTAGATGTCCAATCAGGCAACGAGAAGTAACCAATCATCATCGCCAGGAATGATGATGGTAGAATGCAGCAAATATACTGAACCCCGAAACTTACCTCCGTCATTGAAGACAACGTACCTGTCCTTTTTTTCCTCAAACGGATATTTAAGGCAGGTGAAACACTAGGCAACGCTGGAGACCATAGTTGATCATGGATGCTAGGTGGAGACCAAGATGAAGAAAGCATGACACCGTCTGTACAGATCCGTGCATCCCAACCGTCACTATCTTGGGATATAATGGAAGACCCACATTTAGAGAGAGTGATTGTTCCTAAAATGCAAGAAGAATCATGAAAGTGAACACGCAAGTTACTGATACTAATATCCAGGAGGAACATGTTAACAGTGCAAGAATCCCTTTCCATACTGACTGTTCCAGTGCTGCTAGGGGATTCCACTGTTGCATAGCTATAAGTTCTACGTTTCTTCTGAAACTTGAATGTCTGGATTCTCTGATGCCTGTCATTTACATAGGAGCTCGGCAACTTGGGAACACAACCTATTAGTGAGCCTTCGAGGCAACTTAGAGAACCTGAATTGTAAATATTCACAAATGGAAAGTGGTCCACGCGATTACTAGAATAAGTAGTTGGATCGGTATCATAGAAGTCAGAGAAGCCAGACTTTGACAATTCAATATCAAATGTTTCAGTATCTTCTTGTTGATTCAGGTTGAAGGACTTAGCTGAAGAAAAAGACTGTTTGCTTACTTTGCTATAAAACCCATGCAGATACCCAAAAATTCTCGGATGGATATGAAGATCAACAGCGTTTAAGAAAACACTGCATTCATGCTGAATTTTACAACCATCACTCCTAACATAATACTTAAATTTAAAACAACCTTCACCTGGAGAATCTTCACTACATGTGACACTTGGTGAGCAGGGACCAACTTGTTCAAAATGTCCAGATGAGGTACTACAATATTCATCTCTTAATGAGCATAAGATGAATGCTGTAGATTCACCTTTTAGTTTTAACTCTTCAGCTTTCAAGAACTTAACATAGAAATGACATTCTGGATCTTCTTGCATAATGTACCTGAAACAAGATAAAATGTGCTCATGTTTGGAAATTTTTGTTAGGCAAAACGTATGATTGACATGAAAAGTATGTTTAGATTACTAACTTAAAGTCAATACTCTTTAGGAAAAAGGAGACAAGGGGACTATCTGGTGCATCTTCTTCAAGGATAATACCCAAGCTCAACTGATCCAACTTTACAGATACAAAAAACCGAAAACAATAACAGTCATCTGGTTTGAACTTTTCAAAACCATCTGAGACAGTTGTAGCCACACCTTCACTTTCTTGCAGTAACAATTTATCACGAACTCCAACCAATGCATGGACAGCAGCTGGAGAAATTTGCATTCTGACTGAAGGCAGAATACAGTCAACCTAAATAAAGAAACATGCAAGCTCATAATATACAAGAACTAACTGGAGCTAATATTTTGAATAAGAAAAACAATGGAACTCATAACGACATCAAAGCTTGAAGAACATTTATAATAGGAAATGCATGGTTGCCTATAACATAGATTAGAACTTACACTCACCACATTTACACACGTCAATAAGACAGACCACATCATCAGACAACAAAATAACACCAGTCGTACTGACAATGATAAGGAAAGAGCCTAAAATCCTAAATTGCAATTACAATCCCAGAGGATTTCAATCAAACGGAGAATATCTTTAGATTTAATGGAGGGAGGGAAGTTCAATCTCCTGCACTACGATATAGAATACTTCCATTGCAGAAAAACAAAACATATGGTAGGTTTTTTCATCTATGAATAGTGTGGTTGAAAAAATAGATAGTTTCAATAGAAGAGCTGGAGGCTCAGAGCATCTGACATCAAATGTGTCTTGTCTCCAGGGGGGCTATGGAATAATGATATGAGGTGGCACTTCATTTTGTAAATAAGCTACCAAGAGATAGACATATCGTGAGGCCCACCTACCAGTCAAATCAAATGGGCAGGCCTCCGCACACTTTATCACTTGGTAGCTCATTTAGCAAAATAAGCCGCCCCCTCATAAAAATCAAACCATATACATATTTGAGGAATCAGTCCACAAACATTTTATTCATTGGATTTGCTTTTAGACACATGTTGTTGTGTGATACACAGTAAACCACACAACTCAGAGGTAGCCTTGATGTGTATCACACACCAACACTAATCTCAAAGAAAATCCAACGGATAAAAAAGATGGTGGACAGAGCCCTCCGTCCACTTAAGTTTATTACATGTTTGTGTGTGTGTGCGTGTGTATAGAGAGAGAGGCGAACTTATGTCAACTTAAGTGGACAAGAAGCCTTGTCCACCAAACTTTCTATCCACTCGTATATATATATAAAAAGTCTCTTCATATCTTCCATGGATCCCTAGGTATCATCAATGGATAGAAAGTTTGGTAGATGGTCTACTTAAGTTGACATAAGCCTCTACACTTCTATGTGTATACATATATATGTATATACATACATGTATATATATATGTACAAATATCGTTATATGTGTGTGTTATATGTATATACATGTGTGTATATATATATATATATGTACATATATCGTTGTGTGTGTGTGTGTACAGTGTGTGTGTGTACACACACACACATACATACATATAAAGCTCATGTGTGGTACCCATCAAGACTATCTTTTTCAAGACCTAGCACACATAAGCATGCATCTCAATGCAAATCCAGAGGATAAAAATGTCAAGTGGACGTCCACTTAATTTTACAGAAACTTTAATGCACATGTAAGTACAAACTTACATATATACATGCATGTATACACGCATAGATACATGCATACATACATGTACCTATATTCTATACATAGCAGAAGGCTAGAAGCCTAGAATAAACTTAAGACTAAGGGCTCTGTCCACCATCTTATTTATGCATTTTGCTTTGAGATCTGTGATGGTGTGGGATACACATCAATGCGCATATCTCAAAGATAGGCGTAATATGTATCACACAAAACACGAATCTCAAAGCACATCTAACAAATAATTTAGTGTATAGAGCCCTCGGCCCACTGAAGTTTATTCTAGCTTCATTCTGGGGTGTGGATCAGTAGGATAGAATATAATGGGTAATCTGACGGAATGGGGCGTTGAGCATCTTGATCAAGATGGCTACAACTAAAAGAAAAGGGCCTTTGAATGTGGGGGTTGTTCTTATTTTACCCGAGGGGTTCGAATTAGTGATCAGAATATTATGGACATTTAACAAATGAATGTATATTTATTATAAAACTGAGAATCACTATGACTGCGGTCAAAGGTAACTGGCCATGTAACCTTTTGAAACACCTATTACAATCTGAGACCATCACAGTGAAATAATTGAGGTTAGAGCTCTGAAATGGAAAATCCAGATTTGAGTTACTATGTTTGGTTTCGCAAGAACTATCTTGTTCTGGACTTCATAAAACAGACATTCTGCTTTTCTATAGACACAGGCGTACGCATCTATTAAAGTGGCTTATTTGCCTTCAGATCCAGATGTAGTTTATACCACTGTTAGTGTCTTATCTGAAGGCTCCTTTTACTCACAAAGAACTATATAATTAAGAAGGCTTAGGACTCTTATCTCTTCAACATAAGCATTCATGAAGAACTTGGAGCAAAGGTAAAACTGAAATCAGAGTAAGAGAAGGCTGCCAACTCATCCAGAGAATTTTATAAAATTGAGGTGATTTATCCAATTTATTCAATCAAGGACGTGCTTCATGAATACATGAATAGCCAGCATTTTCTTATTGTTGCTTCATGTGCTATTGCATATGTTTGACTATAGATGGAACATAAAAATTGTAGTCCTGATAAAAATATAATATAACTTGACCATTGAGAAACAAATACCTCCAAAGCTTTCAATGTTGGCTCGTCAAAAAACATGCAAAGCCTGAATCCGATATTTGCATTAAGTTTTTCAATAATGGAAGTTGCACCACATATATTGGAAGCAGGCACACGTACCTTGAAAAGGCCATGTAAATAATGTTATATCCTGTAAATGTCAGACAAACAAGAGCAAGCAGAGATTTAAAATAATAAATGTGGCTTGCCTCAAACTCAGTCAACTCAATGGTATAATGATTATAGAGAGATTGAAGTTCGGCAACTAGTGGTACATCATCCATGGAGTTCTTAAAACATCCCTCATATACATGGTCATAGCAATGGAAATTATCTAGCATTTCCTGACCAGTTTCCATCTTATATCTGGATTTGAAGAAAAGACTTCCCAATTCCAAGTACTGCAAAATGAAAATGAACATGTCATAATTAAATATTCTTCTTGGTCTGAAAAATATGATTCTATAATGAAGGGAAAAAACCCAAAAAAGAGGCCAATATAATTATTACCTGAATATAAAATTTCAATAAAACAAATTGATACAACATATTTGTAGTGGTACTAAATGCATGATCAATAAACACAAAAAGACTTTTTCCCTATTAACTTAAACAGTCAACAAGGAGATATTATGCTGTTTTCACCTGACTGACATTTTTTGTGGTAGTTTATGCAAAAAAAATAATAAATAAAAATAAAAATAAAAAAGACAACAACAAAGCCTTTCTTTCAACTTTTTTGGGGATCCTATCCATCCATTCAGTTCCATTAAGGATCATGTTCTCTATTAAGATAACCATTAAGTATTATCATTATCCCTCAAGTGGAAAAAAAATAAGACACTAACAACAAATGTAGAGTTTATCTTAAAATATATATGGACTGCATGACCTGACCTGGTAAAACATGGGCAAAGATGATTACTTGAGAAGAAATCGGCAAATAAGCAATTGATCTAAAGACTGAAATATTGTGGGCAATTGGGACCATAGAGATGGATCCAATTGTAAAAAAAGAAGATTTGACTGAATATCGAGGAGCAAAAGAATTTAGTCTAAAATACCAAATGAAAGTGGATCAGTTGCGATGGATGCTGGCAACTATTGGATGCGTGGTGGGCCGAGTGTTTTTGGATGTAGGTGAAGGTGTTTACGTGTTGTGTTCCAAGACAGATGTCTCAAGTGTGTGCATAAGCATCATGTGTAGATGTGCCTATAGGTAGTTATATTAATATCATAATAATAATACTTATTATTATTCATTAACTATGCTTTTCTTTCTATTTCTTTTTTTTTTTTGGGTGGGGAGGATGGAGGTGGTGAAGGATGTTATTGGTTGGGGTTTGTTCTGATCTTGGTAGGAACTGTATGCACCTTAAATAAGTGTTTTAAAAGTTGGTCGTCATGTCAGATATAGCAGCCGACATGTCGAATCGGGGCCCTAATAGCCACGACATGGAGTCGTACATGTCAAATGGCATTTTTGAGAATATGTCGGGAATATATCAAGTCAAAGCGGATATGTCGGGCACAACATCAGTTTTGAAAAGGCGACCAATTCTTCTTTTTTTGGCTTTGAAAATTTGGTAGTTAATGGGTTTTGAATTGGAATAAAGCTTAAAAACCCGACTTGACCCCCTCCAATAACTCAATCACAAAAGATCCTCTATGGTTGGGCTTTCTTTTGTCCTAAATCAATCGCGACAGCTGCTTCATCTTCTCTAGAGCTCCATCATCTCTCTTCAACTACGAAACACCCAAAATCAATCGGATCGACTCTCGGCTCTCGCAGCTATGACTATCTCGCCTTCTCTCTCTCTCTCTCTCTCTCTCTCTCTCTCTCTCTCTCTCTCTCTGTTTC